AGGTGCTGGGTGCTCTGGGGAGGTGCTGGGTGCTTTGGGGAGGGTGCTGGTGCTCTGGAGGTGCTGGTGCTCTGGGGGTGCTGGTTCTCTGGGGGTGCTGGTGCTCTGGGGGTACTGGTGCTCTGGGGGTACTGGTGCTCTGGGGGTGCTGGTGCTCTGGGGGTGCTGGTGCTCTGGGGGTGCTGGGTACTCAGGGTGCTGGTGCTGTCTTGGTGCACAGTGCTCCCGCAGCATGCACTGTGGTCTCCCAGCCCCTCTGGGTGTGGAGTGTCTTTGAGGGACGCCCCCAGGAAACGGAGGAGGTGCGGGGGGGGGGAGGAGGCGCAGGGCGCAGGGTGGAGGCAGGGCCTGTCAGAGCAGGTCAGGCTGAGCGCACCGGCAGGGACTCCTGGAGCCGCGGCCGCGATGGGCACGCTGACAGCCCTGTGTGGGGTGGTCCTGCTGGGCGTGCTGGGCCAGGGTCTGCGCTGTGGCCAGGGCTGTGGTCAGGGCTGCTTCCCGAGAGGGGCCGACACCGACCTGCGCTGCTGCCGCTCCTGCTCGCCCGGTAGAGTGGATGGGGGGGCGGGGGGAGCAGGGGGCGGGGGAGGGGGAGGCACCGGGGAGTGGCGCCCATCCCCACCTCCCCAGCCACGCTCAGACCGGGTCACCGGCACTAACAGAGGTCCCACGGGCTGGCAGCAGGGACAGACGCTCTGTGCCAAAAGCCGTCGGGTGGGATCTGGAGGGAGATGGAGATGGCCGGGTGTCTGAGGCTCGGAAGACGTGGGGACAGAAGTCGCCCTGAGAAGGGCCGTCGGGGTCCTCCCGGGTGGCAGGAACTCGGGCGGCGCCGTCTGGAGCCTCGGCGCTCCCCCACGTGGGAGGGGGCCGTGGAGGACCCGTCAAAGGAGAGCATCCCCAGCTTTGCCTACGGGGCCAGAGGACGGTGGGGGGCGGCCCGAGGCCCTGCTGGTGCTGACCACACACCAGCCGCGGAGCGCCCTTGGGGCCTTGGGGAATCAGCCCAGCAGGGAAGGAGGAGCTGGCCGCCTGGGAGGAGACACCGAGCTAGAAAAAGCCTAGGACCTTAGCCTGGGCTGAAGGAGGCGGTGCTGCTGCTGCTGCTGCTCCCCCTCCCCC